GCGCGCGCTCATGCACGCGGCTGCCCCCGGCGCCGGCGGCCTGCCCTGCTGCGTGCCCGCGCGCCTGTCGCCCATTTCCGTGCTCTTCTTTGACAACAGCGACAACGTGGTCCTGCGGCACTACGAGGACATGGTGGTGGACGAGTGTGGCTGCCGTTGACGGGGCCAGATGGGGGGCCCAGACAATAAACACTGCGTGGTCCGCTCCCCTGTCTCCCGTCTGGTCGCCTGGGGGCGGGAGAGGAAGCAGCCAAGGTGGTGGGACAGTGACCCCCAGTGACGCCACCTGCCCAGCTCTCCCAGCTGGGGTCCTACATCCCAATCTCCAGGTAGCCCAACAGCTAACCTGCCCAAGAGCCTGGGAGCTGCCCACAGCAGGCCCAGGCACTGCCCAATAGCAGGGGCCTTGGTCACTACCTGCCGCCACCCCCCCGCCCCCCAGTCCCCGCCATGCTGATCATCTAGCCATTTTCAGCTTTGCCGTCCAGGCGACCCCAAGGCTTCCAAAAAGCCAGGCCCCCAGACCAGGAGCTCTGCCACCTCCCTGCAGTTCATCTGCCCCAGTGTGAACACAAGAGCTGTTTATTAAGATTTTATTGGTGACAATAGAGCTTAAAACAAATCGACCAGAAATCAAAAGTTACATTGCCTTGGTACAGATGCCCCTCAATTTGGAAAACAATAACTGCTGCTATGAAGGTGGAGAACAAAGCAAACAGCACAAAGCAGAGGCAAAGCATTCCAAGGAACAGAACAGGGCGGGCGGGTGGGCACAGGTTGCCCACGGGGTGTCGCACAAGGGGTCAGAGCGGAAACCTATCCAAACTCTACGCCTCTATGTGGCCTACCAAAAGAAGGGGGAAACTGAAAGCCCTACAGCAATGGTAATAAATAAGAGGCCTAGCCAGAAGGAAGGTGGCCTGTGTGTCCCCGTCTCCCAAGTACAAGCTGGAATCTGGAGGCTTTGATAAGGGCCAGTGTCAGCCTCACAGGGACGGGGACGCCGGGGGGTGGGGGGGCGGGGTGGGGGTGTGGTCAGGGTCACCAGGGCCTGGGTAGGCAGGGGATGGTCCCCAAGTAGGTGGTTGTCAGGGAGACTACCACCCCCACGGTGGTGTGCAAGGAGCTGGGGGTGGCTCTCCCAGCTACAGTAACTTCTGGAGTTGTGGCCCAGACCCCACCAGACAGAAGCCCCCTCTACTAGCTGATGTGACAAACTGCTCCAAGCCCCTTCGGCGTAGAACCAACTTATTTCTGGAACTCCCTTACCCCAAAAAAGCAGAAATCACCCCACCCCATCACAGCCATACCCACAGGTAGAAGGTCTCCCAACCTGGAGGGTGGGGTAGAGAACAAGGCAGGTGGGGCGCTCGGCATGTCCAACCAGCCACGGGCACTGTGGGCGCCTGCCTGGGGATGGGTCCTCTTGGCGGCGGTCTTCCACCAAATCCTCAGGAAGGACCCCGGGGAAGAAGCCACCTCCCCACCCTCTGGCCTAACACAGCCAGTCCTGCCCAAGGCCCGTCCCGGGGTGGGTGGGGCACGAGTCCGCGGCGCGCGGGAAGCACTTGGCTTCTCAGAGTCCAGCGGAGACACCGTGGGGCTGCCTGGCCCGGGACGAGACCGTGCTCTCTCACAGCCCTGACGTGCAGGGAGAAGCCGCTGGAAGCTAAAACTGAAAACAAAATTTCTCCTCGCAATCCCGTCACAGGTGTTGATCCTAATCTTGAGATGTGTTGGCTTGTTTAAACTTCGTTTCTGGAAGCTTCTCACATCTCCCAGGTCCACCACTAAGATTTGAGAGACAAACTCAGGAAAGTATATTTTTCAGTACTCATTTGAAAGAATCTTTAAAAAACAAACAAAAACCCCAAACACCGTGTTTTCTTCAAATGAAACCCTCTTAGAACACAGGCAGCGTGACCAGGGCCGTTGCAGAGCTGGCGTGGACAGAACCCACACCTCCGCGGGGCTCTCCCAGCACGGCTGCCCCGGCAAGGAGCCTGCTCGGCACAGAAATGCGAAGTTTTTCCTGCTAAAACGTAGTCCCCTTTCAATAAAAGAGAAACAGAAAGAAAAGAACAGAGGAAAGGGCTACTCTGAGATGAGGGTGTGCCTCCCTCCGCCCTGGTCGCAGACCCAGGTGTGCACGCGGCGAGCGCTGGGCCTCCTTGGCGAGCGGGGCAGCCTGGCAGGGCTCGCTGGCGGACGGTCCTCCGCGGCCGCCCGCCTCCCGCTCTCCCTTCTCCTTCTCCTCGCCGCCGCGGGCCAGCAGTGGGCGCTCGCTCGGTCTCGGGCTCCTCTCTCCCTCGGGTGCTCCTCTCCCTCTCCTGTTGCTCACAGTGGTGCTTCAGTTTTAGCAGTGGAAAACAGGTATCCATTTATTTTTATTTTTTATTACCCAGAATAAGATGCTGATGGACTAAGCCACATAGCTTAGCTCTTCCGCTGCCACCTGCAGGGAGGAAGGAGGGCAGAGGGCCATCAGAGCAGCTCGGGGACCCCCCGCCCCGAAGGTGCAGGGCTCCTCCCCTCGCCCCACCGTGCGCTTGTGAAATGGAGCGTCGGAGGCTGGGCGAATGCCCGCACTAGTGACTCCCCACGCCACGGAGAAGGACGCCGAGAGTTAAGGGGCCCTTCTGCCAGCGGCACTAGCACCCCGCTCACCCAGCACACACACAGGGAGGGGACCCGGGCGCAGGCTCACCAGCTCTGGTCACGCCACATTCAGGGGAACCCTATGTCAGAGTCTTAGCGGCACCCCGAAGCCCCTGGTGCAGAGGAGCCCCGTGTAGCTGGGACAGGACTCCCACCCCCACCCCTTCCTCACGGAGTCCTAGGACTCTCTCAGGCAAGGACCACCACGCAGGGAGCTGGGCACGAAGCTCCTATCCCCGTCACCACGAGCAGATGCACAGGAGCCAAAACGGCCGGCCACAGGACAAGCTGGCCTCTTGGGGACTTGAGACCCCTACCACACATTTCCCTGATTTCCCATCAAGTCCAGATCCCGATGATGAAGACCTCCTGCAGGGGTCAGCTTGCCTTCTAGTACTGGGACAGCCCTGTCACTCCGCCGTGCTGGTATGCCCGCTCCCCTTGGTACGTGGAGTCTTGCGACAGCGCCACATCGATCTGTGACTTAAACTCATCGCCAAGGTAACTGTCCTGAAAAACAAAGTTGGGGAGATAAGCATCCACTTGGAGGATGTGTTCACGTCCTTCCAGCCTCAAGTACCTGCCCCAGAGAAGGATCTGGAAAACCCGGTTCTAAAGCCTAAGTGGCAGGAGACCCACACTGGTTACCTCACCATCGGACACAGGTCACCCAGGCCAGCTGCCTAAGACTGCATCGGGAAGGTGATGCTTTAAGCCCCCCAGCCCCCCTGCTGAGAGCGGACCTATGCAGAAGGCCAGGCGGAGCCGTGCTCAGGTCTGCAGGGGTGAGTATGGGGGGGTCAGTCCCGGCTGTCCTGACCTCCCTGCCGCCGGCTCACCTGGGACAGCTCGGGCTGGGAGAGGCCAGGCTGGCTCATCTGGGAGGGCTGGCTCATGGAGATGTAGCCCTGGGTCAGGGCGCCCTGGGAGAATGGCTGGGACGCCACGTCCTGGCTGGCCTGGCTGTTGGGGAGATTCGTCTGGCTGGGTCCAGGGAGCCCAAAGCGGTTCTTCTGGCGCCCCCCACGACCAGTCTTGCCTTTTGGGGTACCCCGGCCTGAAAGACAGCAGTCCAGGTTCCTTGAAGGTGATCTGCACCCGACCAACCAGCCCAGCTGCCCAAAGCCCAGACTTGAACAAACTCCAACGCCAACGTGCTTTGTCCGACATGCTGCCGCCTGGCGCTCACCTGCTGCTGGCCCGTTCGCTTGTCCAAAGTACCCTGGTGGGGGCATGGGGGGCATGACGAGGTTGAAGGGGATGGGAATGTTCATGGCGGCCACATGGCTGGGGCCTGCACTGATCATGCCGATCTGGTCGTGGGTCTGGAAGTACATGTTTGAGGGCCGGCCTGCAAGATACAAGGTGGATGGCAGGCGTCACCGCCATATCCCAACGAGCCTGCTGCCTGCCCCGCCAATGGCAGCTGGAGTGGCTGGAATGTCACTCGCATCCTGCTGCTGCTCCGAGTGCCACAGCGTTTCTCGGGGCAGCCCGACAGCAAAGCCACCTGGGTGATACAGAATTTCACCACTCGACCCCCACTCTTGAGAGCCTCCCTGGGGCTGGCTCCTGGGAACAAGCCTTTTCTCCCAGGGTATTTGGAGAATCCCTGGCCTACAAGCACCCAAAAGATTGAAGCTACATTGCATTTCCAACTGAAAAAAAAAAAGTTCTTTGTGGATAAAATTCTATGCTCGTATTACCCGCACCCCCCTCTCTACCATTACCACCAAAAGCAAGAAAACACCTTACTGAACAGACCAGTGGATCCCACTGAAAATGAAGGCCCCCAGGTACCCCCCAGGCTAGGCATATCCCAATGTGCACAGAGCTGTCCCAGGGCCTGGGAAGTCAAAGGGAGCCAAGGCATGACAGCACAGCCTTCTGGTCTGCCCCCAAGGGCCGAGAGCCTTAGCTGGGCCCACGGTGAGCTCAAAGATGAAAGATGGACCCAGAGCACCCTACATGGCAACTCACTGGATGTGGCAATGAGATTTGTCACTTGAGCCAACAACCAGGAGAATACTGGGCAAGCAAGGAAAGCGGGGGCTTGCTCACTTCACACGTGAAAGGAACTGCTGGGGTGCATCCGGCCCCAGGATGGCCAGTGAGCTCACGAGGGGACGAAGCTCAGTGTAAAATGCGGGCGTGTGGCACCAAGCACCTGGGTGAGCCAGTCATCCTCTGTAGAGGCTGGTGCGGGGAAGGGTCCCAGGAGGCAGGGATCTGGGGGATGAATGGGAACCATCCAGATGCTGGCTCAGGCAAGAGGGGCTGTTGCACACAGCAGGGGTAATGCTCAGCTTCAGGACAGAGACCCTACACAGGAGAGCGGTCTGAGAGAGCAAGCAGAAACGGGAAGACCGGCGAAACTGGAACCGAGACTGTGGGCAGCCTGGAGGAGCTGCAGCGGTGCCCCTCCCACTGAGTGGGCAAAGGGCAGGGGCTGAGGGAGGGGAACACCGTGGCCTGGGGCCCAGGAGCAAACAGGCAGAGCTACAGTATTTGCTTGCAACCCTCCATAAGCAGACCTGTGATATTTTTTAAAAATGTGTCTTTAGACACTGGCAAAGACCAATTCTTTGATTTCAGACAAGAGAAGGTGAGAAGAAACTGTCAGGCAAGCTTCTGTGGACTGAGGCTTGGGAGGTGACCCCAGGAGTGACAGGGCCAAAAGCTGCAGGCGTGGGAATGATCAACATCCAGGGCCCGCGTGGTCCCCCGCAGACTCACCCTGGCTGCTCCGATCATAGACGGATCCTGGGATAATGGCCTCCCGAGCATCATACATGGCTGTTGTCATGAAGCGGGCTCCCTGCAAACAGTTCAGATAGGTGAGGAATTTACCACCTCGACACAAGAACAACCTCTCAAGATCTGCGGGCCGGGCCATGCCTGGGCCGACCCTCCTCCACGGACTTGCTGACTGTGGGCTCTGGGCCTTGCCCGCCCCTCCTCCACAGACCTGGCCTTTGGCGCTGCACGAACTCTGTCTTCGGGCTTCACCTCGAGCAGCACCACAGCTTCTAGGTCCCCCAGAGCACCCTGGGTTCACAGGGTTTCCTAACTGCCTGTGTCCAACTCCTGGACGCCACCCATGACTTTGCATCCCAAAAGGCCAAGTGGAAAAGCCTTGGAGATGTGGGGCGGAGGAGCTCTGTGACAACTCAGCTCGCACCGGCCGCCACCCACTGCCACACGCCGCGAACCGCAGCCCGGCCCTGGGTTCCTGCCACCGCACCCGCCGCCGCTCACCGGGTTGATGGTGTTGACCAGCTTCCTGGGCTTGCTGAACTGCATGAGGCTCTCCCGCAGGTTGTTCAGGGGCCCCTCCACCAGCACCTTCTGCTCCTTGTAGTAGTTCAGCAGGTGGTTCCAGAGCGGCTGCTTGGACAGGGCCTTTGGGTTGCCCACAATAATGACCCCATACCTGCAAGGTGTGGGCACGAAAACAAGGCGTTTGGGGCTCTGCCTGGTGAGTGGAACACCACGTAACACAATGAAGCAAGACTGAACAAAAACTCAAAATCCATATCCAAGGTGACGGGCCGTTCTCCCGGCACCCTGTCTGCCTCCCTGCCCCGACGCCCGGCCTGCCCATGACAGCGCCCACCGCTGAGTGCCAGGGACAGAAGGGCATACCGCTGGTCACGGTGACCCGGCACTGAAGCCCGCCACGCAAGCTGCCCACAGTGCACTGGGTGTATCTGCAGACAATTTCTGAGGAGCCCAGACATCAAAACCCCTCCATGAGCAGAGGAGCTCAGATGAGTCTCCTTGTTTGCAGCCACGGGTCGGCCTCCTGGGAGGTCAGCCCCAGCAGGCTCCGCGGCCTCGGGAACCCCGACAGGCCAGGGCACAGACCTCAATGACCAAGCCGGGGACTGGCTTCTCTGGTGGACGCTCACCCCAGCGAGCTGTTTCAGGACCCCCGTGCCCCAGTGCTGGCCACCAAACAAGACAGCACCTTAGAAAGGGGGGAGGTGGTAACAAATAACAAGCAACATGTCCTGACAGGGCAAGGAACCAATGTGTGAAGTGAGCCTGACTTCTGGCTGGTATGGGGGCAGCTGCAGTCGTTTTACTCAAAGGTGACAAAGAGCCACCTTATTCTCTGGGTCCCCTCTGCTATCATTATTTCAAAAAACATTACATTCTAGGGCCAAAAAGGTAGGCGAGACCAAAAGATAAGATTTAGGGTTAAATGTCTCCACGTGGACACAACCTGCACTAGTGGGTTTCTTAGGTCACAAGGGCCTAGATGACCCTTCCCACAAAACTGAGGCCACACAAACCCACTAGGACATGAAACAAAGGCATCTCATGGGGAGGCACTCTCTCTAAACTGCTGCTTGGGAGAGCTCTGACCTCTGGCACTGGCGAAGCCCAGTCCCGCCCCAAGTGCAGCCCAAGGTTCAGGTGTGGGGCAAGGAGAAGAACTGAAGAGGCGATCCAGGCAGGGAGCAGCTCTTGGGCGGACCCTCCCAGCTCCAGACTCTAAGAGAAAAGTCCCTCTGAAGAATTCCCATGGCAGGAGGGAGGCACCTGCCATCAGCAAGGCCCAGCGGGACACAGTCCTCTGTACCTCGCTCTGGTCAGGGCCACATTAAGTCGCCTGGGGTCGTTTAAAAATCCGATGCCTTGGTGCTCGTTGGCTCGCACACAGGAAAGGATGATGAAGTCCTTCTCTCGCCCCTGGAATGCATCCACGCTGGCAATCTCCACCTCCTACAAGGGACACACGGTCACAGTCAGCCAGCTGGCTGCCTTCAAGGACCCTCAGACTGTGGGAACGCTGTTGAGGTGCACCGTCCAATCCCACCAAGGAGCCTGGGACCTGAAGCCTGCAGAGCACCCCCACGCCACCCACCTGCTCGCTGCGCCTCTGGACAGCAAGGACGGAGCCCCTCTGGCTGGGCCTGCTCCCACTGGGCCTTCACGGTCCCCAGCCCCACTCTCCTGGCCTTCCTGTGCTTCAGCTGCCTTTTTAACTGTGGCAATTTGTTTCCCAATAATAAAAGCATACGTGCTTGCCATAAAAGACCTTAGACTGGACCCAAGTTAACGAAATAGAGACCACCGGTCATCCTCACTCAGTTGCTACTTTGCATTTTGGTTCACTTCCGCAGAGATAAAGAATGACGTTGTCCCACACCCTTTCAGCACACACATCCTGGACATTTCATCCAGGCAAGGACACAGGGGTGAATCGCATTTTCATGACTACAGAACACGCACTGTAAGGCTGCCTCGTAATCACACCGTACGGTTCGACTTAGAATTATTTTCAGTTTAGCTCTGAAAACTATCCCTCGCAGGCCGGTGCCCTCACAGCCGCAGGCCAGGCAGGGGGAGCCGGCGGGCCCGAGTGGGTGCGCGCACCTGGTAGAGCTTGGTGTGCAGGGAGCCGCTGAACTGCATGTACTGCACCAGGTAGGAGCGCTGGCCCTCGTACGGGGTGATGATGCCGATCTGGTCAGGCTTGGCGCCCGCCTTCAACAACTTCGTGGTGATCTTCTCCACGTTGGCAGCTTCCGTCCTAAGAAAACCCACCTTTCAGCTCCTGGGCTGCCCCCGCGGGCCCGAGACCAAGGCTGGAGCCTGTGGGAGGTGCGGGGCCGGCTCCACCTCTGGGGCAGCCCTGAGAAGGCCTTCGCTGCGCCCACGGCCAGGCTCCCCATCATTTACCAAGAGAGTCACAGGGGACGGGACAGGCTCACACGTGGGCTTAGCAGTATCTGCTCAATAGAAGAACCCACACTGAAGATGCAAGGTGAAAATACGCTGCTGGTTTAGGGGTCCACACAGAATGGGGACGAGGAGGGCGAGGAAAAGCTTTAGCACCGCGGTAGAAAACGGAGTGCCAAGCTGCCACTGAAGCCTGCGGATGCCGAGGGCGAGTCTCTGCTTACCTGTTCAGGTAGGAGGTGCCTGAGCTGGCGATCTCCTCTTGGCCCTGGGTCACGTAGAAGAACATCGGCTTATCAGGTTGGGGCCACTGGAAGTCAAACCCCTTCTTCACTCGGTCCGCTGTCACCAGGAGGGGGGAAAAGAGGCAACACTACCCATTAGAGAAAAAAGCCACAGCCCACCTTGACTGAGTGCCGATGGAGCAACACAGAGACCGGGCCATCAGAGGCAGAGGCCTGTGGTAGAGTAGTTAACAGCAGGCTTCGGGCAAGAGACCCTGGTCAATGGGGCCCCGAGGAGGCCGCTGGAGCGGGTTCCACTGCCCCAAAACGCCTCGGATGAAGGGAAGCTGCACATACCAACACCCAGCTGCCCGGTGCACAAAGCTGGCTCACTCACTGAACATTCTCTCACCGGCTGGTGCTTTCCATGGCCTGTTTAAGAAATCTCTGCCTACCCCAGGGTCACAAGGATACTCTGTTTTCTTCTAGAAGTTTTACTGTGGTGCCTTAAAGGACCCCTAAGTCCCTCCAACTGGCTTTTATGGATGACACTGTTGAGTCACTCTCATCCTGTCACAGACCAAAGCCTACGGACGGGTGGGCCTGCCTCTGGATTCTACCTGGGGCACCGTGCCCACAGTACCCTGGCAATTGCAGTTCTACAGTAACTCAGGACACGTGGTAGTGTAAGCCACCACCTCCACTAGGCTCTTCATGTTCACCTTGGCTATTCTGGGCCCTGTGCATTTATTTCCTTATAATTTAAAAAATTAGCTCATCCATTCACACGCCCCACTCACCCCTTTGGGAATTTTGGAGCTGCATCTAATCAACAGATCAGCATGAGAAAAATGGCATTTTTGCCTCAAAACAGCCTAACATCAGTGATCCACTTTATGTCAAGCTGAGAAAGAGGCCACATCCACCTCCATCCTTCCCGCAAGGGCAGTAGCCAACTGGCTAACTCAGTGGCGCATTAGCCCAGGGGCTGCCGGCAAACGTTTGCCCACTGGGGGCGGTGGGGCAGGGCTGGTCTATAAGGCTCCTGCCCCAGCTAATGTCAGGCTACCCCAAGAGGGAGTCTGGGTGGGTGCCAGCACCGCCTTGGGCAGGGGCCACCTCGGGGCTCAAGGGGGCTCCTGGGAGCTGCTCAGGCTGTGTTCTGGGTTCAGATACTAATTACACAGGTGTGTTCACTTAGAGAAGACTCACCAAGCTGAACACAGGATTTGGGCACTTCTTTGCACTTTAATGAAAAATTAAAAAATATGTATTCAGGGCACCTAGGTGGCACAGTCAATTAAGTGTCCGACTCCTGGCGTCTGCTCAGGTCATGATCTCAGGGTCAAGAGATCAAGCCCCGTGTTGGGCTCTGTGCTCAGCGTGGAATCTGCTTCAGATTCTCTCTTCCCTCTCCCTGCCCCTCCCGCTCGTGCTCACTTTCACTGTCTCTAAAATAAATAAATAAATCTCTGAATGGAAAAAAAAAAAGACAGACATATACATACACATACACGTACGTACTTACTGGGTGCTGACCACGTGCCGGGCACGCAGGACACTGCAGGGAACCACCAGCACTATGGCTCCCTGCCCCCCAGAGCCGCCACCACAAGGAAGGCAGAACAGGGCCAGCAAGGGCCAGAATCGGTGCTAAGTGGTGGCTTTCCCAACTAGTGTCAAATGGCAAACAAGCTCCTTGTGGCCTGGCCTTTCCTCGCCCCACCCCCCAATGGACCAGCACCGTTCTAAGTGTCACAGTGATGGTGATGATAACAGTGCCGTCAACCCCCAGGGCCACACAACACCGCGGCTGCACGGCCGGGCCAGGCGGGCACTCAGCCTTCGTCTCAGCCAGACGGCGGGCCGGGCAAGGCCGACATGGCAGGCTGCTGGCATTAACCGGACATTAAGAACGCCAGTCTCAGGACCCCTTATAGAGCCTAAAAAGTTGAGGAATCCAAGCAGCTACCACTTGCATAGCTTGTATCTACTGACATTTGCTGTATTTTAAAACCTAGAAACATAAAATATTTATGAATTCCTTTAAAAATTATCAGCCAAAAACATATTTTATAAAAAATAACATTTCCCGGGCGCCTGGGTGGCTCAGTCGGTTAAGCGACTGCCTTCGGCTCAGGTCATGATCCTGGAGTCCCTGGATCGAGTCCCGCATCGGGCTCCCTGCTCGGC